ATGGCTCCACCAATCATCCACCATTATGGCTCCACCAATCATCCACCATTATGGCTCCACCAATCATCCACCATTATGGCTCCACCAATCATCCACCATTATGGCTCCACCAATCATCCACCATTATGGCTCCACCAATCATCCACCGCTACAGTTCCACCAATCACCATCTAAAAATCCCAAAATCCACCACGTGTCAACATGGCGGCATTCATGAACATTTATCTTCCGAGCATATGACAATGGCCAGACAAAGACATCCCTCACCTCACACAACGACGGGCATGATATTTGTATTTCCATCAGGAATCAATTTTCCGTGGCTGGTTTATGAACGGAATTGGTTGGTTTAGGAACTAGGGGTTTAGGTAACTGTCTCTATGAACAACGACGGAACCTCTCCATCTCCCAAAAAAAAATCAGAAGGTTCAGTACAAAACTGGGCAATTTCGGGGGAAAGTGGAGAAACCTCCTTCCAACGCGTGTTACAATAATTATGAACGTTGCGGTTATACAAGAGACCTTTTCTTGCAATTTCAAGAGTCAGTCGATACCCCAAAAAAAATCCAATGCCACCGCTTTGTTCACGCTCCAAGTCTTGTCTATGGCTTACTCTGCTCTGTGATCTGAATGGCCTGGGTAGTGGGACCAGACCAGCCAGCTCTCCCATGAACTGCAATGACAGGAGGATCTACTGTCAGTGACTCTTATCTGCCCCCATCAGGCAGTGCTGCCAGTGACGTAGGCAGTTGGGAGCCTGACCGGGCAGGTAGGAGTGTTCGATTGGCAGCGGCTACGTCTGGTCCTATAACCCGACACTAACAACTGTGATGGACCTGCGATGTTGGTGGAAGCGCCGAGCGTCGTCTGCAGTCTCCCCCCTAAGCCCTACAAGCTGCGGGGAGAAGAGGGGACTGGGTGGTCATGTGACCGTGGATAAAAGAATTAATAAAAATTAATAGCAGGAGGTTTTTTTTAACTGAAATGGGAGGAAATCCTTAGGCACTTACAGATGCGTGCTGCGTGCACGGCCGTATCCCTTCTCTATGGGAATACGCGGCCGTACGCCGCCCTACGCTCACGCGCCCTGCACGTTCGTGGTGGGTGCCCATACTCGTATGTTGACGGGATGGATCCTGTCTGCGTCCGAGCCGGGACACACGCACCCGTACTTGAGGTGAGCGTAGGGCGGCGTACGGCCGCGTATTCCCATAGAGAAGGACAGGGGCTGCGTACTAATCACACGCAGCACCTGTCCTGGCCGGGAGCGGCCCGATACAGCCGTGCACGCAGCACGGAACTGTACGTGCCGGCCGTTTCTCGTGTGCATGAGGCATTAGTGTTGAAGCCAGGTGTGCTTGTATTGGGTTTGCATTTGCACTTTCAATTTCTCAACTTTATAGATGCAGCAAATGTCAACAGAAGATATAAAATAAAGAGGTAAAAAAAAAAAAAACTTGGAACACGTTTTTTTTTTTTCACATGAGTTACACAAAGTGTCATTTTGAACCTTTACCAAAACCCCATAAGAACAGAACAGGTTCTTCCAGCTCACAGCATGCAAATCTCTATCAGAAATATTGTATGGCCAGTGTCGGCCCACAGATCACTCTCGCACGCAGCACACCTGGCTGCCATATGACAGACACCTACCAGAGTGTGCAGCTTCTCCTCCAGATCCTGATTGGTCCTCTGTGAGGCCGTGTAGCTGTTCTGTAACCTGCCAGACATAAGATGATGTCAGAGGAGGAAGCGGCACAAGACAAAAAAGCAGCCACATCCACATCCATTCCATCTGCATCCACTCTGCTCAATCTCCACAAAACCCAGAGAAATCTCAATCATCGGTACATTGCAAGACAATGATCTGCGCCCTCCGCAAACATGCGAGGAGGAAGGATACAGCATTGGGCAAGAAGAGGGGCAGCACATCTTCATTTTACATTCTCATTGTATCACTGTCAGTTCCTTGGTATAGTGGCCGCTGGAGTCAATCCAAACTCCGCTGTGCAAAGACATGCCGGGACCTCCTCTTCCCACTCAGTGGTTTGAATCCTGAACAATAACACTTCTTATATTCGGCCCGGATTACAGCACGCTCTATGTGATTGGTGGTCCTCCATTGCTGGACGCGTGGATGTGCAGGGAGGCAGAGCTCTATGTACATTGAGTGGTCCAGTTCCCGGGAAATAAGATGGGAAGATGGGACGATGTTCTCTCCGTACTTACCGCCGAAACTTGTCCTTAAGTTTCTCCAGCTCCTCCCGGTTACGGCATAGCTCCACCTCCAGGTAATGGCGGCCGGCATCCAGCTCGTGTTCCATGGCCTCCATCTTCGTCGTAGCATACGCCAAGCGTCGGCGGAGTTCATCGTTTTGGAGCTGCAGAAAGCTGGGAGGAGACGGAGGAAATAACAGATGGGTGTGAGTGACAACTGCAGCCTGAGAGCAGCACAAGCAAAGGCGCCAATATTCACCAACTTCCCTATGTAGATACTAGGGATGCACCGATACCGGCATTTCGGTATAGAGTACCGATATTTTTTTTCCGGTACTCTCCGATACCGAAAGTCCCATGCAGCAAGCCAGGCGGCGTGTAATGACTAGACACCTGGCTTCCTGATTAGCCGGGCAGCGTGCAAAGACTCGCCACCCGGCTTCCCTATTAGCAGGGAAGCCGTCCCCATGCTTCTCGTCACTAGGTGACGAGAAAGCATGGAGCCGCCTTTTTGGCCAATCAGGAAGCAGGGCGCTGTGTAATGATGCGGCGCCCGGCTTCCCGGGCCAATCAGGAAGTAATGATGCGCTGCCCGGCTTCCTGATACCGGAAGTATCGGGCTAGGCATCGGAGCATTTGCGCGAGTACAGGTACTTGGCCAAATACTCGGCATTGGTACTCGTATCGGTGCATTCCTAGTAGATACCACTCTGTGATATTACTGCAGACACACGGATCAGACACCGTCATGTGATATTATCACAGACTAGGAGCCCCATAGCAAAATTTTGATGGGGCCCCCTGGCAACCCTTCGAATCTAAATCAAGGACAGGTAGCAGGAGAGCTGTCTGCATAGCCTCCTCCTGTACATCTGATGTCAGTTCTTCTTGATTGGAAAGGGGGGGGGGGGGGTACAGGGTCAGTAGCATCTTCTGCATTCCTTAATAGGTCCCCCTTCCGCCCCCAGGCCCTATAAAAGCTGCATGGGCTGCTATGGGTATTGTTACAGCACTGCCACAGACACACAGATCAGACACGGCCATGTCAGATAGAACCCGGTGCACAGAGATTAATGGTGGTGGATAAAAGTGACCAATCAGGGGTACAGGGTCAGGGGGTTACAGGGTCAGTAGCATCTTCTGCATTCCTTAATGGGTCCCCCTTCCACCCCCGGGCCCCATAACAGCTGCATGGGCTGCTATGGGTATTGTTACAGCACTGCCACAGACACACAGATCACACACGGCCATGTCACGTCAGATAGAACCCGGTGCACAGAGATTAATGATGGTGGATAAAAGCGACCAATCGGAACTTTATTTTTTTTATCTTGCACCATGAATATTAAAGTCTGGCATCTGACTGGTTGTCCTGAGCAAATCCCGCACTGCTCTCTGCTCCAGGTTTCAGGCATTGGGTGACGGCAGGCCCAGCATAATGCCTCAGAGGAACATCAGCATCCAAGCAGTACAAAATCAACTTTTTTTTACATTTCTCAATGGATGCCAAA